AAATGAAGAACAATTTAAATAAATATAAACTTATTAGTATTTCAATAGGAACCGTGGGCCTGCTTTTGGCTGATGAGATAGGATTGTTGTTGTTCTTCTTGTTGTTGTGTGCTTTCAAGTCATTTCAGATTTAGGTTGATCCTGAGCGAAGGCCGGGTAAATTACCTTGGAGGGCCGTATCTGGCCCTCAGGCCTTAGTTTGAGGACCCCTGCATCAAACAGTTGTAGTGATATAATTTCACTTTAATTGCGATCCTGGGGTTTGTAGTTTGATGCGACACTACTAGCCAACCCTTCAAATGTCCCATTATTGGCAGGACAATCCCAATTATTTTCTTTATTCTCACATTTTGAGTTGCTTTCAATATATCCCACTTTCTTCTTATTTGACATTACCAATAAAAAATAGGTATTTAGATGGTTTTTAAATTCCGACAGCTGATGTAGCTGTTCTAGCTCTTCTGGCAGGTAATTCCACAGTCTTGGGGCAGCTGATGAAAATGTCCTCTGGATGATGGTCACTAGTCGGGTTCGGGCAGGCTCGAGCAGTCACCCCCCCCCCCTTCCCCAGTGGACCTCAGTGTGTGGGGCAGAGTGTATGGAAGAAGGTGATGCTTTAGATAACCTGGACCCAAACCATTTAGGACTTTAAAAGTCAAAACAAACACATTGAACTTTGCTCAGTAACTAACTGGCATCCAGTGGAGTGATTTTAGTATAGTTGTAATATGCTCACTCCTAGATATTCCCATAACCAATCTGGCTGACGTATTTTGAACCAGCTGGAGTTTCTTAACTTGGTATAAAGGTAGCCCAATGTAAAGCACATTGCAGAAGTCCAACTTTGAGGTTACCAAAGTTGGACTACCATCTTCAGGTCCTCCAAATGTAGGAAGGGGCGCAGCTGGCATTAAGGGCTGAAAGATCTACTTAAATAAGAGAGAGCAGAGAGGAGGCCAAGCCAACCTTTGCTTGGGATAGAGTACTATAGCCTAGGATTGGCCATCAAGAAGGCACTCTGTTTTGTCCTCACCAGGCTATTCTGTGAGGGTGATGAGATGAAGATAACACCCCTCTCTGATGATTGTAAAGGTCAGAAAGATACAAATTGTTCACATGGTTTGGACTTAAGTGGTAGGATAATCTAAAACAGAAGCAAAAGTAGAAGGTGGGGGGGGGGTGATGGAGTGATAATGAAAAAGTAGCAGTTGAAGAAACAATGGATGGGGCAGAAATGCAGTCAAACCAGAATGCAAGGAAGCCAATGAATGCCATGTGCTGTAATCTCCATTTCAGAGGAAGAAACTAGCAAAATCACCTTAAAGCATCCTATCCCTAAAGAAAACCCTATGAAATGCATGGGTAAGTCAACAGGTGACGTGAAAGCACATAAACATGAGCACACAGAGAGGTCGAGAGCTCCAGGACTTCCCCCACTTCACTTCACCCCACCTCAAGCAAGAAATGTATCAAGTGACAAATTAGTTCATGGCCCCACCATAGCCACTGGGCCACAGAAAGTAAACAAAGTAATAAAACTTAAAACCCTACCTGTGGGAACAGTATAATTTAGAGCAAACCACAAAATTAGCAAAATAACCAAACAGGATCTGAACACTTTCTCTTTTTTCCAAAAAAAAAGTAGTGCTCCTCTAGAAAACTGTTTGCATGTCTAATAAAATATAAAGGTTTTCTTTCAACTGACTGAAGTTCTTTTTATTAAAATACAACATGCTGTACAAGGATCAGAATTAAGTATTATAGCATTCATTGCGGTGTGTGCCTGTATGGTAGTTATGACCTGAAAACGTAACTGTGGAGTTCCACTTGTGGTTTGGTGTGCATATGTGAACATTTCTGATGTCTGTGTTATTCAATATAGAGTTCAACCCAAAGTCCAAAAGTGGCAGGCTAAAACCCAGAACCTCAAGCCATGGCTGATACCGAATGAGAGACTCCTTCCTGGGCAAACAAAAGACTGGGTGACTTGGAAGGCACTGAACAGACTGCGTTCTGGCACCACAAGATGCAGAGCCAACCTTAAGAAACAGGGCTACAAAGTGGAATCCACGACATGCAAGTGTGGAGAACAGCAAACTACAGACCACCTATTACAATGCAGTCTGAGCCCTGCCACATGCAAAATGGAGGACCTTCTTACAGTGACACCAGAGGCACTCCAAGTGGCCAGCTTCTGGTCAAAGGACATTTAGTATCATGCCAAGTTTTTTTAACTCTGTGTTTTTTAAAAAAAAAAATTACAATTGTACTTTCGTTTTGCTTCTGATATGATAAATAAATAACCCAGCCCAGATTACCTGTCTGAACCTATCTCCTGTTACGAACCATCACGAAGCTTAATATCAGCACAAGAGGCCTTGCTCTCGATCCCACCATCATTGCAAATGCAACTGGTGGGGATGAGAGAGGGGGCCTTCTCAGTAGTGGCCCCTCGACTGTGGAACTTCCTTCCCAGTGACATCGGACAGGCCTCCTCCCTCCTGTCCGTCAGAAAGAAACTAAAAACCTGGTTGTGGTATCAAGCATTTGAACAGTAGCAGCAGCAATTGGGAATAAGATTCAATCCCGAATAGTTTACTGCAATGCACTTTATGTGGGGCTGCCTTTGAAGACTGTTCAAAAACTCCAACTAGTCCAACGGGCGGCAGACAGATTACTTATTGGAGCGACATACAGGGAGCATACCCCCCCCCCGTTGTATCTGTTTATTTGTTATGGCAAGCGGTCCACTTCCGAGCACAATTCAAAGTCCTGCTCTTGGCCTAAAAAGCCCTATACAGTTTCGGCCTAGCTTACTTGTCCGAACGTATCTCCTTCTACGTCCCACCTCACAGTTTAAGATCATCCGGGGAGGCCCTGCTCTCAGTCCTGCCAGCTTCGCAAATGCGTTAGGCGGAGACGAAAGACAGGGCCTTCTCGGCAATTGCCCCCCGCCTGTGGAACTCGCTTCCCAGCAAGATAAGGTCAGCTTCATCCCTCCTGTCTTTTAGGAAGAAATTGAAATCACAGTTCTGGGACCAAGCTTTTGGACAGCAGGTATAACAGCACTTTGGCTGTGGAATTGGACTAGAATAGTTATATGGTTTGACAATAATGCTTTTAATTGTTTTAATTAATGTTTTATCTATTGTTTTAAATTGCTGTTATATTGTTGTATCTGTTTATTTGTTATGGCATCAAATTGTTGCCAAGTGTAAGCCGTCCCGAGTCCCACTCCGGGGGTTGAGAAGGACAGGGTAGAAATACTGGAAATAAACAAACAAACAAATAAATAAATGTGGTATGTATGACAGTGGACTGTCCCAGACATTGTTTTTAAAGTGACATGATTTCAATAAAATGTTTTTAATGTAATGTATTTTAATGAACTGTTTTTAAATGTGTTTATGATTGTAGTTAGCACTCAAATGAGTGCATATTTTGAAGCCGCCCTGAGTCCGTCCACGCCCCCCCCCCCCCCCCCCCCCCCCCATCCCCAGGAGTAAGAAGGATGGGGTACAAATGTACAAAATAAATAAAATAATAAAACTTTATTTATATACCGCTCTATCTCCCTGAGGGGGACTCAGGGCAGTTTTCAAGTAACATCACCAGAACATACAGAGTAAACAGCATGACATAAAATTAACAAAGCATCATAAGCTTAAAATGATCACAATAACACAAATATATTTAAAAAATAATCCTGACTATTCAGAGCAATTAAAAGGCCGGGCCGAAGCTAGTGCAAACTCAAAATATGAGAAGACTGGGAATTACGTACAGTGCTACAACAGGCTAACAGCAATAGCAGTTACGGGTCTATAGATGCTCATTTCCAGGGCCTATTAGAGGGATGACTGGGGGAATAGTTAGGAAGTATAAGGCCATATTCAACAATGTTTGGGGCTGAGCTAGAACTGGTCATACTCAAAGGCTTGTTGAAACCACTAGGTCTTCAAGCTCTTACGAAATGAAGGGAGAGGTGGGTCCTGTCTTATTTCCTTTGGAAGGGCGTTCCAGAGGCGGGGGGCCACAACTGAGAAGGCCCTCTCTCTCGTCTCCACCAACCATACTTGTGACGGTGGTGGGAGCGAAAGGAGGGCCTCTCTGGAAGACTATCTACTTTGAATATAAATATATGTAGATAACAGAAAAGCTCTTTGCATAAGTGTATAACATGCATATACACAGACATAGGTATGGTTATCAATAAACTTTGGGCATGGCTAAGGGGCTACCATGATGGCCTATACATCAACATTTACTACCATAGGGCACCATTCTATGATGGTTTCACTGGAACTCTCCTAAAACAGATTTGTAGTGTGACTAATCTAAGGAAGTAACAACCCCCAATTTCAGTGTGGAATTACAATCACTCAATTTCTCCAATCTCCCAGTTTTTGTGCCACTTGATAGAATTCTGAAGAACTCAGAAACCACAATTACTTTTGAGGGTATTTGGCTTGGTCCGAATCAAAGCCTAAATGGCGTTTTTAAAACTCACATGAGCAACGTAGCTACTTTTTTCTATTCCTTTTGCATATTGCCAACACAATGATTGAATTCTAGTGAGACTATGACCAAATGAACGAATCTACACTGACCTTTCACCTGTCACCAGCTGCCTGGAGGCTTTTTCTGATGTCAGCTCCCAGATCCATAGTATCGAACACACTCATTCAGAGAGCAATGGGAATAAAGGTCTTGAGAAACCAACACTGCCAGGAGCAAATCATTAGGGGTTTTGCTCTATTGTTCCAGGATCTTTTCCATGACTGTACCTGTTCTCAAACAGGTGTAAATTTCCTGTATAAAGGTTATACTACATTGCAATGGTGAAACGGAATTTTACAAAGGGGAATGGTCATTCCAGGGGCAATTTTCAAGTCCTAACGTAAGGGGTGGAGCATTTGTTGGAGTGGGCAGATCCTAAGGATTTCCCTCAATAAATACAGGCAAAGCTCTTTTCCCCCAGCATACTTCAAACTGTTTCCTTTTTCCTTTGTGAGAATTAACACCAGAACAATGCTGGGGAAAATGTCATCTCTCTCTGCTCTAGTTCTGCTTCTGATTATACAAGGTAAGTAAAATTTGTTCTCGGAAGTGCGGGTCAATATAATTTGTTGATGTCTTTATTAACATAGGTTTTGCTTAACTTTACTATTTGTTGTATGCCAAACCTTTTTTCAAAAATTATGATAAAGATATATAAATATTTAAATAAATGAAGTAACTATGTATCGTTGAAGGCTTTCATGGCTGGAATCACTGGGTTGTTGTAGGTTTTTTGGGCTATATGGCGATGTTCTAGAGCATTCTCTCCTGACGTTTCTCCTGCATCTATGGCAAGCATCATCAGAGGTTAAACCCCTGTGTGGGCAGGACTGAAGACCGACAGGTCACAGGTTTGAATCCAGGGAGAGGTGGATGCACAAGGATGATAAAAACATCAAATCATCTGGGCGTCCCCTGGGCAATGTCCTTGCAGACAGCCAATTCTCTCACACCAGAAGCGACTTGCAGTTTCTCAAGTCGCTCCTGACACAACAACAAAAAATCATCAGAGGTTGTGAGGTCTGTTGGAAACTGATTATGGGCCCTTCCGCACAGCCCTATATCCTAGAATATCAAGGAAGGAAATCCCACATTATCTGAGTGTGGACTCAGATAACCCAGTTCAAAGCAGATATCCGCAAAGCAGATATCCACAGCCAGGATATAGGGTTGTGTGGAAGGGCCCATAATCAGTTTCCAACAGACCTCACAACTTCTGAGGATGCTTGACATAGATGCAGGCAAAACATCAGGAGAGAATGCTTCTAGAACATGGCCATATAGCCCAAAAAACCTACAACAACCCAATGAAGTAACTGTTGCCATGATGGAGGAGATTGAAATTCATTATTTTCAAACCTATGATTAAAATTACAGGCCAATGGTATCTTACAGTATTGATTTTGTTCTTGGTGCTTTCATTAAATAATTCAAAATGTCTTTACAACATTATTATTATTATTATTATTATTATTATTACAACTACTACCTTTACTAAGGGCCCCCTGGTAGCACAGTGGGTCGAACGGCTGAGCTGCTGAACTTGTTGACTGAAAGGTTGGTGATTCAAATCTGGAGAGTGGGGTGAGCTCCTGCTGTTAGGCCCAGCTTCTAGCAATTCGAAAACATGCAAATGTGAGTAGATCAATAGGTACCGTCTCAGCGGGAAAGTAATGGCGCTCCATGCAGTCATGTTGATCACATGAGCTTGGAGGTGTCTACGAACAACACTGGCTCTTCGGCTTAGAAATGGAGATGAACAACACCCCCCAGAGTCGGACACGGCTAAACTTAATGTCAGGAAAACCTTTACCTTTAAACCTTTACTACTTCTGCTATTATAATAAAATAGGGATGAGCAAAATACTATGCACTGACCAATTCCAAGTCTACTAATATCTAGTCAACTGCTTGGTGGGATTCTTGCCAAGCTTAACTAAGCATTTTTATCTTCCTGGACTGGAAAGTTAATTTAACAGATTAATGTGCATAGACACTTTGATGATTCTATATAGACACGCTTGCTTTTTAAATTTGAAACACTGGTAAACTACATGATTTCTTGTGGAAGAGCAAAGAGGGCAGAAACTGCACTACATTATTTATGTTGTGTGTTTTTTTTCTTTCCAAATAATGTTTATTAAACATTTACTAGGAAAGTTGGGGGTGAGGGACAAGGGAAGGAAAAAAATGGGGATAATAGATTAATTATTAGTTAGTTGCATCTTAACAAATACCTACTATGAAACGAATTAAAAACAAAGAGAGTGAGGGTTGTTGAGGTATGGGGAGAACTTTTAAAAATTGTTATTGTTACAACTAAGTCTTCATCTCTATCTCTTTAACACATATTTCATAAAATATTGAGGATTCTAACCATTTTAATTTTAAGTCCATTGGTTGTATCTTCTTACGTCTTCCCACATTGCCTCCTGGTCTTCATATATTCTTTTCTAGTTCTTCAATGGAAATTAAACTTATTTTTTTCGTAACAGATTATTTCATGTTAAATTATTTATTAGTCATGTCTACCAAAAACAGTTCTACAATTTTCATTAAGATTGTTAGGAGGTTAGTGTTTATAACATTTTATCATTATCATGGAGCCCCCAATGGCACAATGGGTTCAACCAGGGGTCCTCAAACTTTTTAAACAGACGGCCAGGTCACAGTCCCTCAAACTGTTGGAGGGCCGGATTATAATTTGAAAAAAATATGAATGAATTCCTATGCACACAGCACATATCTTATTTGTAGTGCAAAAAAACACTTTAAAACAATACAATAATTAAAATGAAGAACAATTTTAACAAATACAAACTTATTAGTATTTCAATGGGAAGTGTGGGCCTGCTTTTGGCTGATGAAGATAGGATTGTTGTTGTTGGTTGCTTTCAAGTTGTTTCAGACTTAGGTTGATCCTGAGCAAGGGCCAGGTAAATGACCTTGGAGGGCCGTATCCGGCCCCCGGGCCATAGTTTGAGGACCCCTGGGTTAAACCCTTGTGCCAGCAGGACTGAAGACCGACAGGTTGGAGGTTGGAGAGGGCGGATGAGCTCCCTCTGTCACCTCCAGCTCCCCATGCGGGGACATGAGAGAAGCCTCTTACAAGGATGCTGAAACATCAAAACACCCAAGAGTCCCCTGGGCAACATCCTTGCAGACAGCTAATTCTCTCACACCAGAAGTGACTTACATTTTCTCAAGTCGTTCCTGACACACACAAAAAACATTATCATGCTCTCTCACTTTCTGTATATTTACATCAAATGTATTTCCCTTCTATAACTCTTGGGTTCAAAAACTCTTCTGATTTAACCATAATTGCTCAGTATGATCATATTTTTATAGTCCATTTCAAGTACTTTTCCTGATAGCTCCTGAAGGCCAGATCTCTCAAACTTCTCTTTCTCAAGGTTTTGTTCCCACTAGCCCGTCTAGCCTTCTTTTATATCAACCTGTCTCTCTAGCTCTCTCTGTATATACATACATAAACATGGAAAGTTAATTTAACAGATTAATGTGCATCAACACTTTGATGATCCTATATAGGCATGCTTGCTTTGCAAATTCGAAACACTGGCAAAACACATGATTTCTTGTGGAAGAGCAAAGAGGACAGAAACTGCACTACATTATTTAAGTGTTTGCTAGTCAATCAGAGTAGGTATCTCACACAATATTATTTTTTATGTTCCAGAGGCATTTGTTGCCCCAGTGACCCAGGAACCAAGTACTGTAACGAGTGCAGCATCAACTATTGGGTCAAGCACACAACCCAGCAGTGGAGGAACACCAAGTGCAGAATCAAGTACTGCAACGAGTGCAGCATCAACTATGGAGTCAAGCACAGAACCCAGCAGTGGAGGAACACCAAGTGCAGAATCAAGTACTGCAACGAGTGCAGCATCAACTATGCAGTCAAGCACAGAACCCAGCAGTGGAGGAACACCAAGTGCAGAATCAAGTACTGCAATGAGTGCAGCATCAACTATGGAGTCTAGCAGTGGAGGAACATCAAGTGCAGAATCAAGTACTGTAACGAGTGCAGCATCAACTATTGAGTCAAGCAAAGAACCCAGCACTGGAGGAACAACAAGTGCGGAATCCAGTGGGGATGCAAGTGCACTAAGTGGAGAAGGGAGTGGAGAAACAAGTGGAGAAGGGAGTGGCGAAGCAAGCGGAGAAGCAAGTGGAGAAGCAAGCGGAGAAGCAATTGGCGAAGCAAGCGGCGAATCAAGCGGCGAATCAAGCGGCGAAGCAATCGTAGTATCAATTGAAGAAACCACAGCAGGAGCGAGTGGAGGGCCAGCTGAGGCGACAAGTACAAAACCAACTGGAGAACCAGTTTTCAGCATAAATGGTGCAAGTGGAAAGTCTACTGAAGCACCGCATGGAGACGCTACCAAAACAACAAGTTCAAATTCAGGCCCACAACCAGCTACAGAGAAAACAGAATCGTCCAGTAAGTTAATTATGCTTTTGTTATTGCCTTGTTAGTAACAACATCCCCCACAACTGGTCTATATTTTGCTTGAGGACAACTCACCAGATGAATTGAGGTAATAATACTGCTTCACCAATTCAGAGTAGCACTTTTCCCCTGCTTTAGGGGCTCCAAAAGTGGGATGCGTCTTACAATAAATGGCACCTTAGATTTTGTGGGGTTTGGTTTGGGTTTTTTATTAACTTGCCTCTAAAAAAGGAGGAAGAGAGGACCCAGTGCCAATGGATCCAGTTTGGTTTTCATTCTTTAATCGACTTACTTCTGAGAGAGAGGGAGTAGGAGATCCAGCTCCAAAAAGATCTGGGTTTTTTTAAAAAAAATGGCTTACTTCCAATAGAGGAGTAAGAGCCCTAGTCCCAAATGACTGTGGCTTTGTTTTTCAAAAATCGAAGCTTCAAAAAAATACGGGAAGCACCTTAGATTCTGTGAAATACTGTATAGTTGGTATTTCCATTCTGACTCTGAGTCAGTGATGTTCACCTCTAGGCTACACAAACTCAGTGTAATATTCCCAGGTCATAATGGTAAATTATCAAATTTTGTTTATGACATGAAGATTCATCATCAGAATGCATCTCATGGTGGAAAGTATAACTTATTAGTCATCTTCTACGCATTTTCTGAATGTGATCAACAGGATATGGTTATTTGCATCAAAAAACCATTTCATATTGCCTACAGAATACAAGTCATAATGGGATAGGGGATAGAACTTTTCTAAATTATCAAATTTTGCCCTAAATCCAGTTGTTAGTCCCAACTAGGGCAAACGTTTTGAATCAGCAAGAACCTGGTAATCCAAAATTGATGTAAGTTTTTATTGATTCAGCAATTGTATTCTAACTGGCTGGGATGAGAGTCCTTCAGCTTTCCTGCACTCCTTGTAATATGACTCTCAAACAGGTACAATCTTATATGTGTCCGTTCTTTCTCTCCTCTGACTTCCCACAAGAAAGGGAGGGAGGAGGCAATTATAAGGGCAAAGGGGGGCACTGAATATAGAGCCCCTAAATGAAACTTTAGGGGCATTCAGCTCAGCAGCATTGCCTCCATGCCGTCATCACTGATGATGAAAGCAGCTTAACTGTACAATGGGAACATGCAATCCCATTAAGAAAGCAAAGCAGAAGACAAACCTTTGTAATAGGAAGATTCTGCATAGTTTACATTTGTTACATTTAACTGTATACTACTTCTACATATTGTTTGCATTGCTGCTCAGATGGGCAAAGTGGGACCTGAGGGCTGATGCAGCCCACCAGGAACATCAGGGTACTCTGACCCCTGTGAAAAAAAAGTCCCCCAAAGGGAACCTGAAAAGCCTCCAAGGGGCATATTTTAAAAAATTCTATGTAACCCAGAAATATTTTGGAGAAAAAAAGGGGGGCTGTTTCAACAAGTCCTTCATTGGCCTAAAAATGGACGTGTGGGGAACGGAATACATATGAATAGTAAGGGCAGGCATGTAGCCGGGGGGGGGAGCTTGGGGGCCTTCAGCCCCCCCCCCCCGAAATTCTCATGGTGGTCCGCGAGAAGGCCTTACTGGTACATTATTTAAACTGTTATGTTTATTCATATCATGATCTGATCACTATATTCAATATATCCCATATGCATGGGGGTATTGAGGTAATGATACAAAAGGTTTGCTAGGGCAGACCCTCTTTCACTCAGACTCACCCCCCCCCCGAACCAAACTCAGCCCCCCCCCCTCCCCAAAACAAAATCCCGGCTACAGGCCTGAGTAAGGGCAATACTTGTCCTCCCTTCCAGCTTCTGGGTATGTATGATCCACCAATCTCTTGGGGTAAAGTATAGTTTTGGAGCATTTAGAGGGTGTTGCACTCCAAGTAAGAGCAAAATCAGCCTCCGCTCACAGAAATTGCTCATCCTTGCAATATTGTAAAAAGTGTAGAAACTCAGGATGTTTTTCAATGTATAATATATAACATTTCCTTTCTTTCTTTCATTCTTTAACAACCAACTATAACTACTTAAAAAACTATAGCAACCCAAAAAACTATACCTACACTAGAGTTATAGCTTTTAGTTTTTAATAATGTCCTGTTGTATTATCGCTGTTGTTTTTCTGCTTTAACTGTTTTATTTGCTATATATTGTATTGTTGTATTGTTGTATTGTGTTGTGTTGGGCTCCGGCCTGTTGTAAGCCTCATCGAATCCCTTGGGAGATGCTAGCGGGGTACAAATAAAGTTTAATAATAATAATAATAATAATAATAATAATAATAATAATAATAATAGCTGCCAACTTCACTCTGAGGATAAGGGCTTTACATATTCAAGAATGTTGCTGTTTTTCCCTTTTTGTGCCTCCAGCAAATTCAAGACAACCAGACATTTTAATGCAGATTTTCCTACTTTTATCTGCTTGAAAATACCAAATGGCCCTAATCTTTACTTCTCAATCACAGATTTTTTTGCATCTGATAATCCAGAGGGGGGAGGGTGTATTCTCAGGAAAATTGCCAAAGATGACAACACAAATAATACGCAACAGTGGCTAAGTAGAATAATACTTATTATCTACAAAACACCACCGTTATGAAAATTGCGACCTCGCATCATCCCTTCCACCACATTCAACTTAAGGGAATATGGTGTTAAAAGCATGGACCCAATAGAGCCATTTTTGAAATCGCAAGTTCATCACCTAACTCCAAATTTCACCCAACAAATTCACAGACATTATAGTAAAATTTTCTTAATCATACTAAATGTTAAGTATGCCAGTTATTTTGGAATAGGTAATTCAACACTGTTTAGTCCTGAGCCAAATATTTGAAGAGAAATTATTGAATTTGAAAAATGAGGTTTGTAAATTGTGGACAGTTTCTTGTCCATTGTAATCCTTCACTTGTAATCTTGTTCTATAGCTTTGTCTCATATGTTTGTTTTTAGAATAAAAAGAGAAGGAATCCAGTAAGAGAAGTGGCACTGAAGTCTTCCTGATGACATTGGCTTGACTGAAGCAGCTTCCCAATATATGGAAATACCAAGATTCTGTGTAATTACGAAAGTAACAAGGCTTAAAGTAAAATGTCTAGCGTTCAGTGAAATTTAAATCAACACTTAATTTTCCTGTTCCACATTGTTATTTATTAAACTCTAACATATCAGAAAACACGGATGGTTTGTGTCATTTCTACTGTATTAATTACATTCTCACTTCCAACTCTCAAACTTTGGTAGCAGTTTGTTCTCTTCAAAGACACATAAAATGTACTCCTTGAATTACTGTGATCATTTCTAGTTTTCTTTGTCGATATTGATAATCTGTTTTATCTAAAACTGAGTAAATGCATTAAAATATGAGTATAAAACTTTTAAAAAACAAATTAAATCTTTTACATTATGGAACACAAAAATATTAAAACATGGGACATTTCAACCTAGTTTAAAACTATACCACACCCACACACACCCTGCAATCCCACTCATCCCACCATCAGAAGCAGGCTGCTTTTCATCATTTCATAAACGCCTGATGGCAGAGTTATATTTGCCTACAAAAGGTGTCTCTAAGAAGGGATTTCCAGAGTCTGGGAGCAGCTCTCTTCTCATCCATTTTTACCCAAATCTTAACATTACAAAAAGTAAAGGTTTCCCCTTGATGCTAAGTCCAGTCATGTCCAACTCTAGGGGGGTGGTGCTCATCTCCATTTCTAAGCCGAAGAGCCAGCATTGTCTGTAGACACCTCCAAGGTCATGTGGCCAGCATGACTGCAAGGAGCACCATTACCTTCCCGCTGGAGCGGTATCTATTGATCTACTCACATTTGCATGTTTTCAGACTGCTAGGTTGGCAGAAGCTGGGCCTGACAGCGGGAGCTCACACCTCTCCCCGGATTTGAACTGCCAACCTTTCAGTCAGCAAGTTCAGCAGCTCAGTGGTTTTACCCGCTGCTAGGTTGGCAGAAGCTGGGGCCATCAACTTTTCAGTCCATCGAACCATCAACCTTTCGGTTAGCAACACTCAGTGGTATAACCTGCTGCACCACTGGCAGCTCTACAATAAGATAAAGTTCCATTTATTTTTAAAATCCAATTTTTAATGTAAATTATTATTATTTATTATTTACAGCTTTTATATTCCGCCCTTCTCACCCCACAGGGGACTCAGGGCAGATTACAGTGTACACATATATGGCAAACATTCAATGCCAATTTTTGACATACAAACATATGCAGACATACACAGAGGCTATTTAACTTTTTCTGGCCGCCAGGGGAGCTGTCACTTTCATCGTCCATCTGCGACGCTGATGAAGCACTTCCGCATTCCCCGCATGCTTCCCCACTGGAATGCTTTGCTGGAGTCATAGAATCATAGAATCAAAGAGTTGGAAGAGACCTCATGGGCCATCCAGTCCAACCCCCCGCTAAGAAGCAGGAATATTGCATTCAAATCACCCCTGACAGATGGCCATCCAGCCTCTGTTTAAAAGCTTCCAAAGAAGGAGCCTCCACGTCTTCTTTATGGCCTCATAAATCAGTTAATTTAGCCTCCCCACTTTAAGGTGGTACCTAATTTTCCTACTTGACAGATGCAACTGTCTTTTGGGTTACAAAGGTCAACAACAGGCTACACACAATTGGTTGGAAACCCACTCCAACCCGGGCTGGCTTCGAACTCATGACCTTTTGGTCAGAGTGATCTTAATGCAGCTGACACTCAGCCAGCTGCGCCACAAAGACATTTATATCAAGATATGTATTTAGATATAGATTATTGGGAGACTTTATAACCTGTATAAATAACTACTTGTAAATAGATCCCAATGTTTTCAACAAGAATCTCATGAGAGTATAGGTAGAATGACAACACCTATTCATAAGGCTCTCCTTTTACAGTTCCCAATAAGCCAAAGACAGTATATTTGGTACACACTTTGTTAAATTATTTAAATTATTGTGAGACAAGATATTTTAAACAAATGGTTAAGTACTTTCAGGACATGGAAGTGGGACTTGATGGAAATCTAAGGAACAAAATATGGGCATGAGAAATACAGGCCAATTTACTGTGTGTGAAATGACCAGCTTGTTTGATGTCCATTATTTATAGAATGATAGAATCAAAGAGTTGGAAGAGACCTCATGGGCCATCCAGTCCAACCCCCTGCCAAGAAGCAGGAATATTGCATTCAAATCACCCCTGACAGATGGCCATCCAGCCTCTGTTTAAAAGCTTCCAAAGAAGGAGCCTCCACCACACTCCAAGGCAGAGAGTTCCACCGCTGAATGGCTCTTCCTCATGTTCAGATGGAATCTCCTCTCTTGTAGTTTGAAGCCATTGTTTCGTGTCCTAGTCTGCAGGGCAGCAGAAAACAAGCTTGCTCCCTCCTCCCTGTGGCTTCCTCTCACATATTTATACATGGCTATCATATCTCCTCTTAGCCTTCTCTTCTTCAGGCTAAACATGCCCAGCTCCTTAAGCCGCTCCTCATAGGGCTTGTTCTCCAGACCCTTGATCATTTTAGTCACCCTCCTCTGGACACATTCCAGCTTGTCAATATCTCTCTTGAACTGTGGTGGAGATTTCTGCAGTCTTAGATCATATCAGGAGCATAGAGTAAAATTAATGCATGTTTCATTCACCGGAGTGTGTCCAAGAAACAGCCTCGGACAAAATAAAGACTGACAAAGTCTACAGACATTTTTATTTGCAGAATCAACTCTGGGTTGCATTCCTGTGTGTGTGTGTGTATAGTAACACATAGATGCAACTGCATTATTCCTCCCAGAGGTATGGTTTTTCCGTTTGATACAGAATATTTTCCTTTCTTTCCTAATCTCAAAGCAAGGCAGTGTAAAGAATCACTCTCTCGAGACTTCTGAGAGATAAGAGTTCCGTCCCAAAAAGTAAAATTGTACTTCTCGTTTCCTATAAAATACTACTTGTGTTTGGTTTAGCAGCAAACAACACCAGTTGAAGGTGCAGGTTACAGTAGTATGTAAGAAAGTGAGCCCTTGGTTTGCCTAACAAGGTTTCGGTGGTAAAAGAATTCCTCAGCCCTGAATTGCCCTTTGCTGCTGCAGGTAGGCCTTTGTGGAATGTCTCCGAGTCTGACATTCTCATAGTAAGAGTATTATAGACCAAGGGACAGCCGCCGGCAAAGGGATGAACAAAGAGCCTCCCAGGTCTCTTCTCCTTTGCAAACATGCCACTTAAGATTGTGCAATTCAATAGCAGAAAGCGAGCCGCAAAGTGAATGGGAAGTCAAGTTTCTAGGGGGGAATCGTGGAGTGGTTTCGTTAAAGAGCCCCTGACCTGAGTGGATGATGGCCAAACAAAGGAAGTGTCAAAAGCTGGCTGCATTTGCATGTTCTTTGTGTGGAAAAGAATGCCTGGAATAAATCAGATACCACATTTCAGAGTGGCAGAGATAGGAATTAAGTTTTCCTAGTGAAGTGCAGGGTCCACTCCAGGATTTCCGCCCAGACTATTCAGCCTTTTTTTTTACCGAGTTGGGCCCATAATCCTGCATAATTTTTTCCTCTCTAAAATCTCAGTTACTTCAATGGGGATAAACAGGCTAATTCCATCCAGCGGCTCTACACCTGAGTGCACTTCTCAATCCCCCCCCCCCCCCCACAAATTGCAGGAAAGAGGATAAGTGAAAATGTACAGAAGAACCATAGCTAGTCTAATACCAATGAAAGGAATTCAACATCTTCTTGTTGAATCATAGGGAGCCATTTTACACTGAGATATACTGTCACGTTGCCAGGGCTCTGCCTTATTTAGGTAGAGATGAACCAAACTCCCAGTTTTATCAAACAGTTAAATTAAAAGAGCACTTACTTGCTGGCTGTTTTAATAGACCAAAATATAAAACATAAATATAGCACTCAGCCACAGAATAAACAAAAACTGATAGCAAAAGCTACACCGTAGTCAAAGGGTCCAGTCCAGTGGTCAAATGCCAAGAGTTCAATAAACAAAGTCTAGGGATCAAGAGTCTATATCGTAGTCAAAAGCTAGTCCAAAGGTTCAAGGTTCCAAGATTACAGGTCAGGATACCGAAAATCCAAAAGACCTGGGGGAAAGCCAGCAGCATCCACCACCAAAATATGACAATACTTTTCTCCCGAAGATCATTGCCAAGGCTAGTTCTTATATCCAGAAACACCCAGCTGCAACCCATCTCTTGCATACCTCCACCCTTAATTGCTTTCACCCCTGAACCCTTACTTACAGATTACTAAACCCTTTAGAACTAATACTTACATTAACCCTTCCATCACCAAGCATCATCAACTGCAGAACATATGACAACTACTGGTCAATCCTAAAGGAGTATTTTCTTCTAGGTTCCAGGAAATATACTTTGCTAGTGTTATCTAGAACTATCTGGTATTCATTAACAATCCACTGCCATGCAGGAAAAGCACAATCAAAGCATTCTCTACAGATGGCCATCCAGCCTGTTTTAAAATCTCCTGCGAGGGAGACTCCACCATACACCAAAGCAGTGAGTTTAACTGTTAAACCGCTCTTACTATCAGGAAGTCCTTCCTAACGTTTAGGTGGAATCTCTTTTCCTGTCATTTGAATCCATCACTCCATGTCCTAATCTCCAGAGCAACAAAAAAAAGCTTGCCTCTTCCTCAGTGTGACATCCTTTCAAATTTTTAAACATGGCTACCATGTCCCCCCTCAACCTTCTCTTCTCCCAGATAAACATACGAGGCTCCCTAGGTCTCCTTAAGCCTTGATCATTTTGGTCAACCTCCTATTTTCAATACCCTTTTTGAAATGTGGTGCTCAAAACTAAATTCGGACCAAAGCAGAATAGAGAGGGACTATGACTTCTCTCAATCTAAATGCTATACAGGCAGTCCCCAAGTTATAAACAAGATAGGTCCTGTTTGTTCTTAAGTTGAAGTTCTATGTAAGTTGGAACAGGTAATTTTTTTAGATGTAACAAAATAAAATCAACTGCAACATCAGAGAAATATTACAATCACATTGCACATTTTAAAAATAGTATCATGGCTGAGAGAATAAAGTGCTGATCAGGGAATGTGCAATTGTTTCTAGACAAAGCCCAAGGAAGGTGCCAGGTGCGCTTCATTTCAAATTAAGGCCACAGCTGGAAGAATACTGCCCTTAGGCGTTTACATAATAGGATTACAGATGGGAGGGTCAACGAAAGTGTGAGAACTATGGCGAGATCGATCTCATACTCTGGTGGAACTGCCTAATCAAATACACAGGGGAACATCCAGGTTTTTAACTCCTTGCGGAAAGTGGAAAGGGTAGGGGCCAATCTGATCTCTTTGGGTAGCGAGTTCCAGAGCCAAGGGGCCACCCCCAAGAAGGCCCTCTCTCTCGTTCCCACCAGCCGCGCTTGAAACAGAGGCAGAAGAAAGAGCAGAGCCTCTCCAGATGATCCTAAAGTATGTGCTGGTTCGTAGGGAGGAAGGAACATGCGATCTCAAAGATCTATATAATGTAATGTTCGTTTGTGGGATTAACATAACTCAAAAACCACTGGGAGAATTGACACTAAATTTGGACACAATACACCTATCAGGCCAACAAGTGACCATCAATCAAAAACACTGAAAAACACAGAAGAGACTTAAAAAGCAAAAAAAAAAACAACAACAAAAATACATTACAATGCATGCGCAAAACCGCATATATACACAAACACACATATATACACATATACACAATTATATTCAGAAATATATACACACATATATGCACACACAAAACACATACACATAAAGGGGGAAGGAAGGAAGGAAGGAAGGAAGGAAGGAAGGAAGGAAGGAAGGAAGGAAGGAAGGAAGGAAGGAAGGAAGGAAGGGGAAAAGGGGGAAGAGAAAGAGGGAAAGAAGGAGGAAGGAAAGAAAGAAAGCTAGAGAAGGAAGGAAGGAAGGAGAAAAGGAAATAAAAATTGAAAGAGGGAAGGAAGGAGAGAAGGAATGAAAGAGAGAAACAGGGAGAGAAGGAAGGAAGTAAAGAGACAAGGAAGGGTGGAATCAAAGAGCAAAGGAAGCTTGTGGGATAAAATAATAAAAATGGAAAGCAAGTTGATCAAAAGACTGTACCAACAACTCTTATTGTGGGCAATGGAGGAAGAACAGGTTAAGGAAGTCATGATTAAGTGGGCTAAAATGGTAGGACACACGATCACCATGTCAGAGTGGGAGGAGGTATGGTTAAAAAAACTGAAGTATGTGTATGCTACGGAGATCAAAGAAAATTGGGTAAAGATGTTCTACCTATGGTACCAAACCCCTGAAAAACTAGCGAAATATAGCAAGGGGAAGATTGATAAAAAGTGCTGGAGATGTAGGAAGAAAATGGGTACATTCAAGCACATGTGGTGGGAGTGTGGAGTTGTTAAAAAGTTCTGGTCTGAGGTACATAGAAAAATGAGAGAGATCTTCCAACGCAATTTTGAACTCAAACCAGAATATTTCCTACTAGGAATGACTAACCTAAAACTGAATAAGAACGACGATAAAATCTTTTTTTACTTGACCACGGCAGCAAGGATATGTATTGCCCGCGTATGGAAAACTGAAAACACAGCAACTTTTGATTCATGGATCAATAAGGCTATGGATATCATGAATATGGACTTGCTAACACAAAAAATAAGAAAAATAGAACAACAGATAACACCAACTGGAACAAGTTCATTAATTTTCTAAAGAAAAATAACCTCAAATATTGTCAAAATAGGAAGGAAAGAAAAATTCCGGAAGTGATATTAAAAGTAGGTTAAAAATTAACCATCAAAACAAAAAACATTGTGAATGAATTAAACTCAGGTTGCTTGAGGTTCCTGGAAGTTAGGGGGAAACTATATGTATTTATGTATTTATGTACTGATGTGTATAGATATCGAAATGTGTTGTAGGGGGAGGGGGGGCTATGACAACATTTAGTTTAGGAATTTGGGCTAGGTAAATAACTTGGTAGATAGGAACGAATACGACTTGAGAAAATAGACATGGATGATTGCGTAGAATATAATACATAGAGAGAAATATACAGCCTTTAAGGCAACTACCCTATTAATTTTGTATATAAATTTGTCTGTACTGTTCGTCTTGTTTGTCAATTTGTATACGTCGAAAAAATCTTTTCAATAAAAATAATTAAAAACAAAGAGCAAAGGAAGCAAGAAAAGAAACAGGTAGAGAAGGAAGGAAGAAGAAGGGAAAGTAGAAGGGAAAGAAAAAGAGGGTTGGAGGAAGGAGAGAAAGAGGGAGGGAAAGTTGGCCACAGCAACGCGTAGCGGGTAAAGATAGTCAAATAATAAAAGAACAAGTTATAGGTGGCAGCACACTGTTGGCTAGAAGTATATTATTATTGCACAGATCAAAATTTATCAATCCACAGGAATTGGAAAAATAATTTTATAGAACAAGAATGCACATCCTTAGCATGATTTTTGGATTCCTGTAACATTTCTTCAGATTAATTTGGTACCCTCTGGAAACAAACTCCACATTTAACCTCTACACATGTTCCCATGTCACGTAAGGATTTCAGCAGTTCAACTGGAATATCAGAGTTACTTTCCAAGTGATAAGGCTACACAGACAGGTTCTATTTGAATGGTAACATTTTAATGCTATTTTGTACTTTGTCAACATCATAATTATCTCCAGTAAAGTACAAAGAAGCCACTGTTTTGTAAATCGAAGAGATTCCACACAAAGATAAAGATTGCAACCCAGCCAAAACAACTTTTTTGAAAAAAAAAATAAAGGACATTGGTTTCAGTGGATGATTTTAGAATGCACTAAAACCTATTAATGGGGCTTGGTGCTGGTGAATTTGGGTGGTTGGATCATGTTCTGGGTGTATTTTGCCAAATGACTTGTGGTCACAGCCTTGTATTATTCATATCAAAATAGGCCATGAAAAAGATAAGACCTTATGTCCTAATCCAACTGAATTGAAGAAGAATTAACTTCCCTATGGAAGTTAAATCATTCATCTGAAACAGAAGTTGGTTTTCAAGGGAGACATGTACAGGACATGTGTGCTCAACTCCTTTGCAGAAGTAAACTTTCCTGTAAATACACAGCTGTTAGCAAAGCAATAATCTCAGGCTGAGTCCCATGCATACAGCCAAGGCTATGCACTTCTTATGCATTTGTTATGCATTTGCATGTCAACAGCATAAAAATAGCAGTGACACAGAAGAAAGGATCTGCACTACAAAATGATGCCACCACATTGATGTTTAAATTTTTAAATTGCCTCGAACAGGCAGGATTACTTTTAATATATGTGTGTTATGGCGACAATTTTCATGCTTATATTTTGTTTTGTTAATCTTATGGTTATGTTGTTTTTACTTTGTATGTTTTGTGAGATTACCTGGGAACTGCTCTAAGTCCCCTCAGGGAGATGGAGCGGTATATAAATAAAGTATTATATTTATTATTATTATTAATGCTGGAGGGTGGCAGAACTCAGCAATGTTAATGATGTAGCATTAGCCCCATGTTTCTTGCCATGTGTACTTCTATTGGCTGGATTGTGTTTGCATATTTGTAAAGAGATTTTGTTTATGAAAGTGCTTCTGCTCCAGGTAATATAAATAAACTTCAGTTCTTTACATGAAGTACGAGTATTTTTTAAGTAAGGTCCGTTTTGTGGTAGACACTAGTAGTTCGCGCGCATACCGCAACGAGCGCGTGCGTCGTGTACCGGCATGCCTCGGGAACAACTGTGCTCAGTTTCCACTCTGTAGCTAACCTGTATGGTTCTCTTCTGTGCTTTAAAAATGTTTAGGACTATCAACTCACCCGCCACATGTGAGGTTCGCTCAGTGATGCGGTTTTTGTCAGCAAGGAACCTGCCTGCTGCAGAAATTCATTGACAGATTTGTGAAGTGTACGGTGATACTGTTATGAGTGAAAGCAAAGTGCGTAAGTGGGTACGACAATTTAAAGATGGCCGTGACAATGTCCATGATGAGGACCGCTCCGGTCGCCCTTCTTTGATTACAGACGAGTTGGTGGCTTCAGTTGAAGCGAGGATTTATGAAGAGGGTATTTTAAAATTGGTTCAGAAGTATGATAAGTGTTTGAACAAACTTGGCAACTATGTCAAAAATTAGAGTGAAGTATGTACTTTCTGAAAATAAATTTACTTTTTTGAAATGAACTTTCGTTGTGTACTTATGTTCCAACGGACCTTACTTAAAAAATACCCCTCGTATTAATTGTGATGGTTGGCCCATTGGGTCCATTATTAAAATGCCCTCAGATAAGTAGTCTGTACTATCAGAACCCAAATCAATGCTCTGGCAAAGGTGTGGCAGAAGGTTCTTTGGTTTCTGTCAAGGCCCTTGGCTGATGAAGGAACACACTAAATCTAACTCCCTGGTTTGCTGCTGCCCTAACAAAGCCACTGTTAGCAGTCATGGTAATGGCCTTTAAAGCATCTCCTGTCCCAAAAATGGTCAGCGAACGCTGACTGATTTTGGAACTAGGCACTAACTTTAAGGCACGTTCAGAGGGCTGATCTGGCACTACATGGATTTTTTCCATGAGCCGCATGGCTCGACTTTTCTCTCCTGTGCCTCCCAAAGTCTCTAAGATTACCTGAAAATCTTTAACTGCAGATTCACAAGCAAACAGCTCCTTGTCCTTCATGAACCCTTCCAGCTGTGGAAGCACACTCTCTTCTCTCTCCTGTGCTGCCTGCTCAGACAGGACTTTCTCCTTAAAGATCAAGTAACAGCCTCCGTAACTGAGGGCAGAGACATAGGTAATCAGAGTAGTAATATCCAAGTTAACCCTATTGCACATATCTACTCTGACTTCTGTAGGAAAAGCTACGCTTGCTATTAAAGCATCCCTATCGACTTTTGTGACTAGACAGCATTCATCTCTATCATCAGAATCACTAGAACTCAAGTGGAGGTCTTCCTTGGTATGCTCCATCAATGCATTCACAGCAACTATGTCCCCCCGCACAGATATACCCATCTCTTTCAGTCTCTCTGCCACTGGGCAAGACACGCCATTGTAGAATGCAAAGATAATATGTGGGTTATTGTATTGCACCAGTTGCTGATCACTTGCTTGTAGAAAATCTTCGGCTTGCTTAATGATGCTTTTGTCACCATACTGGCCTCTGCCCAACCAAATGTTGTGCAGCGCTTCAGCCTTTCGGCCAATTGCTTTCACCCAAGTGTGACCACTATTTGCAACAACGTCCACCACCAAACTCTGCTTTTCACCACATTTATCTTCGTAAGTAAAGGCACGGAGGACAGCAACAACCTCCTCCAAGTTCTCCGCAGATTCAATGACGGCTTGCAGATGAGTGAGGTTCGTACTCTGCAGATGAGATTCTTTGATGGCCACCTTTCCAGCCTCCACCTTATGTAAGAACTTTAACTCCGCTTTCAGTCTGCTGCAGAGTTTTGAACCCCCTTCTATGCCACCTTTCTGGGACCTGCAAAGAACCTCTGCCCTCTTGATCAGCTCCTTGGCAACAGCAATTCTCTCACACAGCAAGGATTGCACAGACATGCTGGTAACATTATTCCTGAAAATGATAAGAAAAACCATATTGTTAGTGGGAGCTGTAAAATGAACACACCAATGTGGGTTTCTCAAAGCATTACTTTTCTCCCCCCAAAAAGAAAATTTCAAGGCAGCACACAAAAATATGTGTTTTAAATAACATGTTTCTTTAATTTAGCAAATGTGGACATTCTAATAGCCCATTTACATATCAAAGATTTTGTAGAAATAGTAAAAAAAAAGAAATGAGAGATTTTGAGTTCAAGATGCTTGAAAAGGGGGGCAGAAAATCTGGAGTATTGCATGGAATTATCAACATATTGTCGAAGGCTTTCATGACCGGAATCGTTGGGTTGTTGTAGGTTTTTTCGGGCTACGTGGCCATATTCTAGAGGCATTCTCTCCTGACATTTTGCCTGCATCTATGGCAAGCATCCTCAGAGGTAGTGAGGTCTGTTGGAACAAGGAAAATTGAGTTTATATATCTGTGGAACGACCAGGGTGGGACAAAGAACTCGTCTGCTGGAGCTAGGTGTGAATGTTTCAACTGACCACCTTGATTAGCGTTTGATGGCCTGGCATGCCTGGGGCAATCATTTGCTGAGAGGTGATTAGATGTCCCTGATTGTTTTTCCTCTGTTGTTTTGCTGTTGTAATTTTAGAGTTTTTAATACTGGTAGTCAGATTTTGTTCACAGAAATGCTGGACCACCCTAACAACCACCATGTCAGACTACACAGAGAAGCCATTGAAATCCACAAGCATGTGGACAATTTCAACAGAAAGGAGGAAACCATGAAAATGAACAAAATCTGGCTACCAGTATTTAAAAAACTCTAAAATTACAACAGCAAAACAACAGAGAAGAAACAATCAGGGACATCTAATCACCTCTCAACAAAAGATTGCCCCAGGCACTGCCAGGCCATCAAATGCTAATCAAAGTGGTCAGTTGAAACATTCACACTTAGCTCCAGCAGACAAGAGTTCTTTGTCCCACCCTGGTCATTCCACAGATATATAAACCCATTTTCCTAGTTCCAACAGACCTCACTACCTCTGAGGATGCTTGCCATAGATGCAGGCGAAACATCAGGAGAGAATGCCTCTAGAACATGGCCATATAGCCTGAAAAACCTACAACAACCCAGTGATTCCAGCCATGAAAGCCTTCGATGGTTCCAGGGATTATTGTGTAGGCAGGCACTCCAGTTTAAGTTTAATCCATTCAGGCCATATAGCCTGAAAAAACCTACAACAACCCAGCTATCAAAATGCTTATCTATTCACACCAAGATGCTAAGACAACCCAATTTAAGAATCTTTGGCCATTTTTTGCTGTGAAGTAGAGTTCATAGTGATGGAGGGAATGAATCTTTTCTGCCATATATCTTTAAAAACCTTATACCATAATCACATTAATAATCTAAAAGAAGGTGTACAAAGCCCAATTTTCTATTGCCTTTCAATAGTTTTGACCTTTACTTCTAAAACACATTTAAACATGCATACAAAGTAGAAGAGAGAACTATAGATTTACTGAATTCTTTTTTTTTTAAATACTCCGAAGGTGCAATGTGCCAACACTTTTCTAAATGGCGCACACTAATAAAATGTCAATGTGCTTAATAAAATGTCTATGCACTTCCTACAGTTTTTATTTTGTTTCATTCTCAGAAAATATAAAGATAGTATAGGGTGTTAACAGATGGATGCCACTAAAACCTCCTGCAACTGTAATAAAAATCCTTTTGGTTACACAAATGCTGCCACCTGCTGGACTCATCAGAGGACAGCAGGACAATCATTCATTTCAAAATAGGACAAGAGTGAGCTATTTGTGGAATCCCTTCAGTGATTGTTCGACTGCAACTCCTATCAACCCTGCCCGGCAAAGCCAAAAATGAGGAATGACAGGAGCCTAACAAGCTGGTCATTCCTGCTTTTGAGAGAGGCAAGCAAAGACAGAATAGAACCTTACCCACCACTTGGACACAAGGAGAGCCCTTTTTCCTAGAGAAGTCTGCTGTTCCCTCACCAATTATGCATCTCAACCATTTACTTACCCAATTGTCTTAACAAACCTGTACTGCAAGGTATACAGAGCAAAGGGTTTTAGCAAAGCATTTGCCTTACTGTGTACTCTACTGATTCACTTTGTTGCTGGAGATGTGAAAGCCCGGGGACAGGGGAGTGAAAACTTTTGAGAAAACCCAATTTTCCTCCACAGAAAATGGGGAAAACAAAAATTGCAAAGTGAGATGTCTTTTAAAATGATGTATAAAACTTTTCAAACAAGTGATCCCTTTTTCATGGAAAAAAATATTTCTAAAAACAAATCAACAGGAAAACTTTTACACAAGGCAATGTATGCTTTCTGGGTATTGCAATTCCTAGTCTTGGAATCCTTTGTTCCATTTCTTTTTATGGAAATGTATACATTATAGCTGCTTTCTACCATGGAAGACTATAGGAAACAATAGTTTTGTTTTATAGATGCTTATATTGTTTTTTTATGTTTTTATCGAGTTTTGCCTTCTCTTACTGTAAAAGAGACGGCTACCAGGTCGTAAAAGATCGCCACCAATTAGTGAGGAAGACCCTTAGGTTTAGGAGAGAGGAGCCACCGATTTGTAAAAGGCTCTGGTATTAATACCACTGGATGCCACCCTGTTTGTGTTGTGAGGTAATTTTGGGAGATTGGGTACACGAACGTAGAATTAATGGAGATGAGGCAGTTTCAAAAACCAAAGAGAACAAGTTTATTTGAAACAAAGCGTATGGTTGCAGTTTGATGTTAAGCTTGGCAAATACTTAGAGAACGATACATGTAACTTGGTTGTGATACAGTTCAGACTTTCGATGTTACAACTTATGAAACTCTTGCTGTGGTGAAGCACTTTATTAACCAGTGTTCCCTGCAGTGAATAGTCTCCCTGTTTGATCTATCCTTGATCAAACGACAGATCTCTAGTCTTCTCCCGACTAGCGATCTTAACAAGCCTCTGTTAGTTCTTTCTAACTAAAGCAACTAACAAGGTTTTCCCCTTCAGCTTCCTAACTGAAGAAATCTCTACTATTCACGAACACTGAAACCTGACTCTTCTCAGAGTCTCAATCCTGACTTGCTCTTCCCTGAGCCTAAAACCCTGACTGACTCTAACTGTCACTTTTCAAAAACCTTAACTCTCTAAGCTCCTCCCACCTCCTCTTCTGCCTCGTTTCCATGGTAACACATTCCTAACAGCTAGGCCGCTCCAGCCTAAGGGCAACCAATGCAAACATAAATACAGTTATAAGCATATTATTATAAACACTTCTGTACACTTACTAAAATGGCAAAACAAAAGAGATTCATGCCAAACAAAATTATATAACATGTATGCATCTGCTCCCTTGTGGATACCAAAATCCATGAATTCTCAATTCCCATTATACAATGAGAGAATAAAATGATTCCTTTTGTATTCATTGGCAAAATCAAAACTTGAATTCTGGATTTTTTTTTAAAAAAATCATATAATTGATGGTTGAATCCATGGATAGAGAATCTATGGGTAGCAACTTGCAACAATAGCTACAAATGGAGTTTCTCGTTCAAAAAATTCTGTTGTTATAATTATTTATTTATTTATTTTGCTTGAATGACAAGATCTGGAACTTGTTTTTGGTTTTGCCATAGATACCAGAATGTATGGTAGGCCAAATGTAGTGAAACGATATCCCTTATATAAAAGAACAACGATCAATATTTGCTTTTTGAATTTTTAAAAATGTTTTCAAGTTATAGATGTTTGAATCTAGACACTGCAGATAAATATTTTATGTTCCTAAAGTAACAAAGTATATTTCAAACTAAAGAATGCTGATATCATACTTTACTTTTAATCCCCCCCAAAAAATGCCAATATCATACTTTGCTTTTTTTATGTTTCCTGAGTTACCAGATTTAAAAAAAAAAGTTACGCCTTCTAAATTAAGCGAGATGAAAATGATGGCAAACAGATAAAGGATCTATAATAACTGAAAAACTGTAGGAAGGCTTGGCAAGAACATAGCAGTCAGTGATCTTGGAAACCTCTCATTCAAAGGGCCATCACAGGCTGAAGCTACACTGCCGTATAACGCAATTTGAAACATCATCATATGGTCAGTGTACAATCAATGTAGTTCAATATTGTCGAACTGCATTATATGGCAGATTCAGCCATCGATATAAGTGGCCTTGGTTGCCAATAGCAAACGCAAAGCCATCTCAGTGAATGAAGTGAGAAGCAGCCCCTTTCTCCCTGGGGGCCTCTTGCTTTTCTTTGATGGTGTGTCCTTTTCCAATGTAAGCCTGAAGATCTCTCTTCTACTGATTACACTATGTAACAAAATTTGAAACATTTTCTGCTCCTGGTTTGAAAGTGTCATTCCTGTTTAATTTGAAAGTCGTTGTTATACTCTAGAAACTTCATTTTGGTGGCTGCCACAAACAATGTTGAATGTGACTCAATCAGATATTAATTGACAAGAGCTAAATGTGCTGCTGGATGTCTCTCCTGCAGAAACTATATATATATATATTGGAGTTTCATAAACTTTGCTCATTTTTTGTAATAGAACCAATTAGGACAGGCCATTTTTAATAATAATAATAATAATAATAATAATAATAATCTTTATTTATATCCCACCACCATCTCCCCAAAGGGGACTTGGAGCGGCTTATATGAGGCCAAGCCCAGCGATACATTACAGCAACATAAAATATAAACAACAAAATAACATCACAATAAAATAAATAAACCAATCGAGTAAAATAAACAGTACAAAATAACATAGTGGAAAATAAAATCCAGTGGGCGAGCCAAATGCACGACACAAAATGATAAAACACTGGATGAGATAGCAATGAAAAGGTACATTTGTGGGGGAGGAGTTCATAGGAAACTGAACAGTGGAATTAGACTTTCAATAAGGTGAAAGTGCAATATGAGGGAAGCAGTTTAGGTGAAACAACAGGACTGGAATATATGGTCACTCTCCAAAGGCACATTGGAAAAGCCAAGTCTTTAGATCTTTCTTAAAGGCTGTTAGGGTGGGGGCTTGCCTAATCGTGGTGTCTATGACAGAGAAAGAGGTGAGAGGAGGGGCTCCCCCAAGGATTGGAGGGAACGTGCAAGTTTTTGGAAGGAGATGCGGTCACGAAGGTAGGCAGGTCCCAAACTGTTTAGGGCTTTATAGGTGATAACCTGCACCTTGAATTGGGACCGAAAAATGAACGGCAGCCAATGGAGCTCCTTAAACAGGGGGGTTGAACGCTCCCTGTAATTTACCCCAGTTAGTAGTCTGAACGAATGAACAACAACAAAGTAGTCTGGCTGCCGAACATTGGACCAACTGAAGTTTCTGGGCCGTCTTCAAGTGCAGTCCCAAATAGAGTGCATTGCAGTAGTCAAGTCTAGAGGTAACTAAGTCGTGGACCACCATGTCAAGTTAGATCTCACAAGGTATGGTCGCAGCTGGCACCCAAGTTTTAATTTATAACCCAGGAACAAAAACCGTCGTACACAGTGTTATTTGTAATTGAATGTGACTATACTATTACCTTAATTACATGTAAGCAACTGTGTTGGTTACATATATGCAATCATGTCTCATGAAATGACTAGTCCAGGCATGGACAAGCTTCAGCCCTCCTGGTGTTTTGGACTACAATTCCCACAATTCCTAAGAATTGAGCGAGTTGTAGTCCAAACCACATGGAGGGCCAAAGTTTGCCTATGCCTGGACTAGGTATTTGGATTTACAATACTCAGACCTCTTCCACACAGCTGTATAAAATCCACATTGAACTGGGTTATATGCCAGTGTGGACCCAGATAAACCAGTTTAAATCAGCTATTGTGGATTATCTGCCTTGATGTTCAGGGTAATATGGCTGTGTGGAAAGAAGGGCCCTCACTATTGTTTTCAGCAAGGCTTGCTCCCAACAGGGGCCTAGTGTTGGTTTTTTTCCCTCAAGAAAAGTAACATCTGACAAACCCTTAGCTGAAATGGAGCAGAAAGAAAGTGAAGGGAGGTCTTCGTCCTGGGTTTTAGGAAACAACCTCCTCCTCCCACAAGGAGCTGAAGCGCTTTCCAGGTCGCAGCGGGGCTGAGGAGAATCACAGGGGCGAAGTTGCCGCCGCCATCTTAGCTGAGGGCACTCGGTGCGTCAAACATCCTTTTGCGCATGCGCATTTTCCCGCTCTCTGCCTGCCGGCATTTCTCCTTCTGGCGCCGCCTACGTTCGTCCGAGGCAGCGTCATGCTCGCGCTTGCTGACCCGGCGTCCCAGCGTCCTTTGCGGCCTGAGTCATGACAAAGTCTGCACGTTGTCAACAGTTCAGCAGCACTCCAGCTAAGAATGGTCATGGAATGGGTAATATTAAACAAAACCATTGATTTTTTACTACACTATGGAACACGGGTTTTGTTCCTAGGCTATCAATGTCCTTTCTTAATTGGTCCTGTCATAACAACGTGGAAAAACATGTCAAGACTACACAGGGAAGCCACTGAAATCCACAAGCATGTGGACAATTTCAATAGAAAGGAGGAAACCACGAAAATGAACAAAATCTGGCTACCAGTATTTTTAAAAACTCTACAGTCAGTACAGTAAATAAAGAGCAAGTCAAAAATCAGGGGATTCCAGACAAGAATCAATGAAGGCCAGCTAACAGCTCCCGACAAAGGATCACCCAGGCAGGAAGCAGCCAGGTTTTGATGCTGCAAGGCCATTCAATGATAATCAAGGTGGCCAGCTGTAACATTCATACTTGCCTCAAACAAACGAGTTCTTTCTCCCACCCTGGACATTCCGCAAATATATAAATATATATATTTTAACTATTACATCTGGCCCAGCCATAGGTTTTTAAATCTTTGCATGTTAATATGTGATTTATTTAATTGTATTGTTTGTTTTTTTTTGTTTATTGCTTTCTTGTTTATTGATGTGTTGTTGGGCTTGGCCTCATGTAAGCCGCTCCGAGTCTCTTGAGATGGAGGCAGGGTATAAATAATGTTTTATTATTATTATTATTATTATTTGCCTAGTTTCCAACAGACCTCAAAACCTCTGAGAATGCCTGCCATAGATGTGGGTGAAACATCAGGAGAGAATGCTTCTGGAAAATGGCCCTACTGCCCGGAAAATTCACAGCAACCCAATGATTCCGGCCATAAAATTAACAACAGAAAAAACTTTATTTATATCCCGCCCCATCTCCCTGTAGAGACTCAGGGTTGGATGTTTCTTAGCTGAATATTTCTTAGCAGCATCAGCATTGGGAGGATTGTGAGGTAGAACTGAAGAAACACAGACATTCAGTGCCTGTCGCAGCCTCCTGGTGGCGCAGTGGGTTAAACCCCTGTGCCAGGAGGACTGAAGACTGACACGTCGCAGGTTCGAATCCGGGGAGAAGCAGATGAGCTCCCTCTACCAACTCCAGCTCCTCATGCGGGGACATGAGAGAAACCTCCCACAAGGATGATAAAAACATCAAATCATCCAGGTGTCCCCTGGGCAACATCCTTGCAGACGGCCAATTCTCTCACATCAGAAGCAACTTGCAGTTTCTCAAGTTGCTCCTAACACGATAAAAAAAATGTCTGTCAGGCGGCAGCAGTTTTGTCTACAATCATAGAATCACAGAGTTGGAAGAGACCTCATGGGCCATCCAGTCCAACCTCCTGTCAAGAAGTAGGAATATTGCATTCAAAGCACCCCTGACAGATGGCCATCTAGCCTCTGTTTAAAAATCTCCAAAGGAGCCTCCACCACACTCCGGGGCAGAGAGTTCCACTGCTGAACAGCTCTCACAGTCAGGAAGTTCTTCCCCATGTTCAGATGGAATCTCCTTTCTTGTAGTTTAAAGCCATTTTTTCGCATCCTAGTCTCCAGAGAAGCAGAAAACAAGCTTGCTCCCTCCTCCCTGTGACTTCATCTCACATATCATATCTCCTCTCAGCCTTCTCTTCTTCAGTCTAAACATGCCCAGCTCCTTAAGCCGCTCCTCATAGGGCTTGTTCTCCAGACCCTTGATCATTTTAGTCGCCCTCCTCAATAAAGCTTGAAGTTGTAAAGAATGGCTTGCCTGACCTGGTAGGCATTCCTTCTATTCTCTGCCATTCGCAATTTTAACTTGAAAACCAGTACAGTTCACCCCTTTGCACTCTAATCCATTATAATTACCCAGACAAATGTACGCTTTACATTCACTAGACAGTCCCCCCCCCCCCATTTTCTTTTGAGTTCATTACAATGGCAACACTTGGGCAAGGTTTTCAATGTAATGGATAATTGCTGCAAGTTATTTGCCATCACTTCAATACTCCCATTATAATAGTATTAGAAAGCACCTTGAGCTTTTGCTGCTGCACATAACTAATCAAGGAGCTATGCACAATTACATGTCAAAAATGTGATTACTGTAATCATGAATTAGCTCCATCTCATATATGGTTGCCACACGTGAGATGGCAAATTAGGAAAAGATGACTGGCTTACTGTCACCCAGTCTGATTGGTGCCTTATGGCAGAACTAAGGGTAGATTGATCCAGGTATGTTCTCTTCCTTGCCTACTATAGTTATAAATGCTCAACACTAAATGTGGACAGGTTGAAGATAGCATAGTTATTCTAGAATTCTTTCACACAAGTTACAACTACATATTAATAAACCATATACAGCTTTGCCGCTTTGAGTCTCCTTATGGAGAGAAAAAGAGGTGTATAAATAAACAACTTATATTTGGAAAGCTAATTTGTTTTCTTATGTGAATTGAAAGAGGTCGTCAACCTGTGGTCATCAACATGTTGATTTATAATCCAAACTAGCTGTACCCGCCACGCATTGCTGTGCCAACCTTCCCCTTTCTCTCCTTTCTCCTTCCATCACTTTTTCTTTCCTTCTTTCATTTCTTTTTCCCTTCCTTCCACCTTTTCTTTCCCTTCCCCTTTCTCCTTCTCTACCTATTCTTGGACTGCAACCCCCAGCAGTCCTCCTGATAGATCTACCTACCTACCTACCTATCTCCATGTAATCTATCTATCTGGAGGATTGCTGGGAGTTGCAGTCCAGGAATAGAAAAATTGGAACTATGCAGGGATTGGGATGCTCTCAGAGAAATCTACGAAGAAGCAAGCTTGCAGCTTGGAAGCAGTGCATTTGGATCATCCTCCTCTCCTAAAAGGCTTGATCTAGGGGATGCTGGGAGCTGTAGTCCAGAAGGGAGTATGGATATATTATTGTGCGTTTTGTTTGCCGGGGAGGGGGGTCATTTTGCGCATGCGCTATAGCGTCTTTTTGCTTTTTTTGGCCTTTTAAGTCCCTTCTGTTGTGTTTTTCAGTGTTTTAATAAGTGATGGTCACTCGTTGGCCTGATCGGTGTATTGTGTCCAATTTGGTGTCAATTCGTCCAGTGGTTTTTGAGTTATGTTAATCCCACAAACGAACATTACATTTTTATTTATATAGATAACCTAAGAAGCAGAGGCAATTAGCATTGTAGCCCAACAATATCTGCATGATTGCATGTTCCCAAACTCTAAAACATATCATTTTGCAATTGTTTGTGCCACTAAAACATACAGAACAGAGGCACTCTTCCATTACAACCTACTGAAGAAAAACACTTGATTGGTTAATCTCAGGAGCAAAGTTCAGTCAGAAGGGGGTTACCTCTAACCCCTAAAGCAACAGATGTGTGCATGCCCAATATTAAACCACTTTTGATACGTAATATATTACCTGGAATGTACTTACTTGCCATTGAAAGTGCACAAGATCAAAATGCACATTTCTTGTATGGGTAATAATTTTAATACCATTTCACTTAGTACTGCAAGTTTCTCAGCTCTTACGGCAAGAATGGACAAGCAGAGGTTTTTCAAATGTTAGAGGTCAGTTCCCATCAGCCATCAACTAATATGTGTAACATATGGTAGTTTAACAACTGGAAGACCACATAGTCCTCAAACTTCTACCAAACAGCATGGAAAAGGACTCCAGGCTTTCCTTCCAAACAAAGTCAAGCTTCTTCTGTAGTCCTAACTTTGATGCACATCCTTGCATGGTTAGTGTGTGTAGGAGAGAGATGCTCCATCTAGATTTATGAAGAAACCAGCTCCTCCCTAAAGTTTTCTTAGAAACAATAAAAATAAAAGTGCTCTACCATTTCCCCTGAGCACTGATTTTGTGAACAGCCATCCTGTGTAACAAAGTCCCCTCTGGCCATTGATGTTGTTGTTCATTCATTCAGTCGTCTCCGACTCTTCGTGACCTCATGGACCAGTCCACGCCAGAGCTCCCTGTCGGCAGTCACCACCCCCAGCTCCTTCAAGGTCAGTCCAGTCACTTCAAGGATGCCATCCATCCATCTTGCCCTTGGTCGGCCCCTCTTCCTTTTTCCTTCCACTTTCCCCAGCATAATTGTCTTCTCTAGGCTTTGCTGTCTCCTCATGATGTGGCCAAAGTACTTCAACTTTGTCTCTAGTATCCTTCCCTCCAATGAGCAGTCGGGCTTTTTTTCCTGGAGGATGGACTGGTTGGATCTTCTCGCAGTCCAAGGCACTCTCAGAACTTTCCTCCAACACCACAGCTCAAAAGCATCGATCTTCCTTCGCTCAGCCTTCCCTAAGGTCCAGCGCTCACATCCGTAGGTTACTACAGGGAATACCATGGCTTTGACTAGGCGGATCTTTGTTGCCATTGTGATGTCTCTACTCTTTACTCTCCTGTGGGGGGGGGGGGGGACACCACAGATGGGCGAAGATATTTCTTTCAAGCAGTGCTACAAGTTTTTTTAAAATGTAACATTCCAAGCTCTTGTATTCTGTGGCCCATTCTATGCTTAGTTAGATGTCTAGCTTGAACTAATTACATTTAATTCTGCCATTTATTGAAAATTCATAAGGATTTTGGAAATAAAGTTGATATGGAAAAAAGATACCCTGGCAAACTCAAGGTTTTTCCTGAGCATAAACTTTCCCCCCAGTACTTATGATTCAACTAGAGATATAAAACCTTAGACGAGAATGGCCTCTTGAGGATACCCTGCTGCATTCTCTCCCTCTGCCCAAATTGCTGCCACATATAACACAGAGACTTCTCCCCCCATTTATATATCCCCTACAACTGGGTGGCAAAAACCAATTTCTGCAGGAAAGCGGGATTTAAAAGGATGACTGTTCTCACACACCTTGTGGGCAACATAGCAAGGAACCCCCAAGAGATTACATGTATCTTACAAGTTAACCCTTTAACCAAGATGATTTTAGACACACACAATGAAACTAGCTTGTTTTCATGATATTCACTTTGCCTGTGCAGCTAATATGCCGCCTATATTTATGCAAGTTATTAATTTCTAGTTTTCATTCTTGCCAGTTAACAGCTCCCCCACAGAGGTCTGTGTAACATTTCAAGTTAACCCTCAGACACAGATTTAGAATTTTTACTTGCAGAAACTATTTAACTATGTTTGTTAACCAGATCACTCTAAAGTTTTTTGAATTATGTTTCTGAATAATTTGTGTTCAAAGCCTGAAAAAAAATACTATAGTTAAATTCCTTTTTGTAGTTTTATCCAGAAGTTACAATACCCTTTGTATGTTTATTTTTCTCAGAGTATGTAAATTCAAATTATACACTTGTACAGGGTTTAATGTTTTAAGAGCAATAATTCCACATTTCAGTATCATTCAGTAGCATTTAAATCCATAATATTTCTTTAAAAATTTATCAAACAAACAGAGTAGAAATGTGAGTGCAGAAACCACATATTCAAATGGCTGATGTAAAAAAAAAAGACAGGGATCTCTGAATATATTCAGGCTGTTCTCTTGAAGCTGCACTATGCAATTGCAGCCAAGTAATCCTTAACCTCAGTTGGAGTAAGTCTTCTAAATCCTGCTTCATTACAGATGCCAACTTCTATATTGTCTTCTGTCATCTGTCCTTCAAAACTCTCCTAGAATAGTGGGTTGAGGAAGAGAGAAATTACTCAAATAGCATGCATTTGATATATTAAAGTTTTAACAAATGCATTAGGAGTGTTTCTCACCTTTAGTGTCAAGATAGCAGTATGGATAGCATCTTCAAGTTCTAAATCTTCATTGTACCTGCATGAAAAATAATGTTTTCTAGTAAACTGAAGATATTTTATAAAACATGATAACTGCAATAGCCAGAATTCACAAACACAGAAAATTAAGAATAGTGCTCCCTAAAGGTTTTGGGGAATGCTGTTGGTCCACTGGAGAGTCAAAGATCCCAGATTTTTCAAGAGTTATAGTCTTCAAAAAGTCCTAACAAAAATTGTTCCTAACCCCTGACTGCAATCCACCCTTGGCCTTGAACATCAAGTCCAGTGAATGGTGGGCACGGCTTTCCCTCTCTAACTACAAACATGAACTATAATAACAGTCCTTTATACGCATCCTCCCAAGTAACATCATGGGATAAGGCCCATTTGGCATACGAGTAAGGTAGACTGCTTCTGGAAGCAATTGTTTGAGTCTTGGACTAAGACTGCAAGGCCAAGGTGTCAATCTCTACTCAGCAGTGGCTAACTATTGGTAAGTTGCACGTTTTCAGTTTTGGAGATAGGAAATTGCAACCCACCCCCAACACAAATCTTTCCAAGAAAACATCATGAGCTTAGAAATTCCATAGGTTGGAAATGACTTGAATGTACACATCCATCACCACAAAGGCTGCTTGTGGATAATTGTCAATTTTCATACACTGGGAAACAATCACTGATTGAAATGATTGAAATGATTGTAAATGATCATTAACAGTGGCATTACCTTTTCTCAAGGAATGTTTTTCCATTCACATAGTTCTTCCCCATTGCAGTTGCTTTCCATGCAAAGTAAGCGCCCTGGAGAAAGACAGATATATAGCCTTATTATGATACCATATTGAAACTATTTTAAGTCTCAGCAGAACAGTTCTACATATAACTATCTACTTAGAAGCATTTGACTTCTTCCCACTTATTTCAATGTTATAGTACCATGTTCCAAAAAACAACAACAACCGGGGGTGATTGTCTCAGTCATACAGCAAAGTATCCCTCTGCTTAATCCATTTATGCCAGTGTTGCCATTCATGTAGTCTTCCCAAATTGCAGGTTAATTAAATTAAAAAGCAATAGAAAGGACTTGGCATGAGGCCTATTACAAAGGAAAAATTCCAGGGTACATTTGTTACCAGCTATATAGTAATCCTTGTTTTTAGATATTCATCTTTTTGCAAAGTAAGAATCTTAAATCACAATAATCTAACACTATTGGGGATTAGATTTTCTTTTCACTATAATCATAACAGATTTTGGGGGCAGGAGCTCCCTTACATTCCATTATCAGGGATAAACAAACCCCTTCACTTGAGGCTAGACCACTGCTTCTTAAGCTATGGATCCCAATCTGTTTAGCTCAATGTTAAGTTCACACAAAAACTGGCAACAGTAAAAGGCTTCTAAATGCCACCCATTTACACAAATCTGTTAGCAACAACATGCAGTGTTTATTTACAGAGGTCTAGGCAGAAAGTGTGTGTGTGTGTGTGTGTGTGTATCTCTCTCGGAGGTGGGACCCAAGTCTAAAAATAAACTCATGTATGTTTCATATACACATAGGCTGAAGCCAATTTTATACACCATATTTTAATAATATTGTACACAAAAGACATTTTGTATATATTGAGCCATCAAAAAGCAAGGGCTGCATTTTCTCAGCCACCCATGAGGAGAATTCTGGATTTTGGAATATATTGGATTTCTGAATTCTGGATAATGGAAGCTCAACATTTATTCTGTTTTAAAGTACAATAATGGCAAGCTTTAAGGGAGAATTAAGCAAAGTCACAATACACCTAACAGCATAATGGAAACTCCATCCAGAAAAAATAGCTGTGAATGCCCATGTCTGAATGTGAGGGGGCGAGTAGTTATTGAGGATGGTTATCTTATGTCTTCCTATGGAACTAGATATACTCTCAGTTTAGTTCAACAAGTCTTGTTTTCGGTTCTCATAATTATAAAGCTGATTGAACAAAGATATTCTAATAATCTATCCCACAGCTGTTTACCATTTCCCACACACCTTAATTTATATATAAAAAAATCATCCACATAAAAAGAATACAGTGATTTTAAACAAATCTTCCAGGAGATATCTGCATTAGCCACATATTTAAGACAATTTAGGCATCCAGTTTTAAATACTTACAGATGGATCAGACTGGAATAAATATGGTCGGCCCTCATTCCATCCACATATTAGCAATGATACTCCAAACGGGCGTACACCCCTGCCAAGTGCAAAAAAAAAAAAAAAGAAAAAGGTAAAGGGTTATTGTCATTAAAAATCAATGGGAAACTATTTAGATCAGCATTACTGGTGCTACTGAGTAAGGTATTTTCTATTTACAGATATGTCCTTCCTCTAAATAACATGAAAGTATCATACAGTGGGGCCTCAGTATCCATTGGAGAGTGGTTCCAGGATCTCCCGTGAATACCAACTTGCGGATGTTCAAGTCCCATGCCATATACACAATATATACAATGGTATAGTAAAATGCCCTCCCTTATATAAAATGGCAAGCAACTCGAACAAGTGCTAGAGAGAGCCTAAGGACCCTTACACTGATGTAGAGTATGGCCTACATCAGTGTAAGGGTTGGCATACAGCGAAGTTAAACTTTGGTTTGGTTTTTGTTTTTTATTTTCATAATATTTTCAAGTCATGGTTAGCTGAATCTGTGGATGCAGATGGAGGACTGTCGGTGGTATGAATTGGGGAGAACAGGGTTCTAGTCACTACTTAAATATGAAATTCGCCTTCGGCTAATTACTCTCTCTCAGCCTAACTTACATTAATAGCTGTACCAAATAAAGTAAGAAGGAAAAAAGCCATGTACAGCACCCTCAGATCACAGAGAGAAAAATAGGACCATAACAAATAAATTAACATTGCTTTCTTGCTTCCAGACCAATGCCCTGGAACAGAAGCCTGGCATGCAAAAATGATCTCCTAAAACAAGTAGTAGAAGAGTGGGGCCAAACACAAAAGAGTAAGGCCAAAAATACTAGCCTAGTTTATCTTAAAGCTCACCAGAAATAACTAAGCCTGAAATGAAGCATTTCAATTTTCTCAAAACGCAAAAAGCTAAGGGAACTATTAAATGACAGTGTCATGAAAAGGGGGCAGGTAGTGCTGGGAAATGCAAAGAAGGACGAATGATCCCCTACATCTAGGATGCAGGTAAGACTACACTAGTGGCTGTTTATCCAGCGCTGTATTTTGAACTTCAGTAGACTAGAAGCAAAAATCTCTTCATAGCTCAGTAATGGCAAATGGCTACAGTACAATACGGTCTAGTCAGAAATGTATAGCCCTTAGGAATGATAATACCGATAACAGATGGCCCTGGTTCATAAACCTAATGTCTGGTAGACTTTCTTTAAAATGTTGGCCATGACCAAGCCGAGATGAAAATAATATAAGCAACAGTAAAACTGAACAGTGGTGGAGTTTTAAAAATATATAGCATACCCAGATTGTGTGTATTCTTGCATCACAGAAGCAATCCTCTGTACAAGTTGAGCTGTTGGAATAGGCTCGTGATAAACCAAGTAGTATTGCTGGGCAAGTTTGCGTGCTCTGTGGACAAGGACCCTGCCAAAGAAAGTGCAGAAATTACACATATAGGACAGAAAAGTGGGCAAAGTCCAATCGGTGAGCCAAAGACAATCAATCTACCAGGGACACAGTGAAAATTTGCAACACACCTGTTTAAAAAATAATAAAACTATGCAATACAAGCAAAATACCCATATTGCTGGATCAGAAGGGCAACTGAGAGCAGCATCCAGTTTCCAAAATGTCCAGATGCCACTGGCACAGAACCACCACACTATATAAGTACTAGACTCAAGTAGTCTACATCCTATAATGCCTTGCAATCTGCCTCGCTCAGCACTTATATCCACTGGATAGCTAACAATTAATGAATAGCTATTCTAAGCCCCACTGCATCCTGAGAAATGGTTGGCAATGATTCTCCAAATATTAACCTGTAATTAGCTCATTAATTGATATTACAAATCAAGTGATTTTATAAAGACCGTAACATTGGGTTTGGAACACATCCTGCTGCATGTTGAAGAAACCTTGTTCACACCTGCAATATGTAAACGGAAATAAAGCATAGAGTAGACATCTGCAAAAAGCAAGATATATACACAGAGATGTGCACTTTCCCTTGCAGATGTTATGCTTCCTAGGGGACTATGGCCCCTTCTACACTGCCATATAATCCACATTTTCTTTGAACTGGGTTATATGAGTCTACACTGCCATATAATCCAGTTCAAAGCAGATAATATGGCAGTGTACAAGAGGTCTAAGACTGGAAGTTCACATGGGATTCCAGTTATATAAAGGATACTGAAATGCCATAATGGTCTTATAGCACAAGAAAGGTAACAATGTGCAATCTTAATATAATAGGATTTTTTTTTCAGATACCTGTAATCAGGACCCATTCCACTGTACACCAAGCCGATGTGTTTGGTAATAGGTTCTACTTTGTGTACACTCCGTTCATCATACAGAATGGACTTCTGCTTTTTCTCTGTTGCCAGTACCACACCATTTGCAGCTGTATAAAGTAAGCAAAGATTTTACAGAATGTGGCCAAAAATATAATTCTTATCTTTCCCTTATGTTTATTCAAAGCTTTGCTGCTTACAGAAGACACAGAAAAAATATTTCCTTGATTATCATGCCATACTGATCTTGTGTAGTACTCCATTTTTTCTGTACAATCTACTGCAGGTTTTCCCACAGGTGTAATTATAACCCTATCATAATTGAAAGGAAGCAAAAGCCAGCAGTGAATGGGATGAATATATTTCTACCTGCAGCACTGGCTCCTGAAATTTCAGGGTACTGGGCAGCAGCACCAACAGACCCAGGTCCCTTCTACTCTACCATATAAAATCCAGATTATCTGCTTTGAACTGCATTATATGGCAGTGTAGACTCATATAATCCAGTTCAAAGCAGATAATCTGGATTATATGGCAGTGTAGAAGGGGTCCCAATGACTTAAGCAGCCCCTGCAGGAGCAGCTATAGAGGATCTTGCATTCTCTCTGAGGCTTGCGCTTCTTCTCCTTGTGTTCTCTTTCTGGGTCTGTGGCTTCTCTTTCGATGTAGTATATATTTCTCTCGTATAAGACTCACATATAGGTTTTTTTTAAAAAATAACTGCACTTCCATGCTCTCACACACATTGCTCCCTGATGCCTGAAGTCAAACTGACCATTCACCCTTGCTCCGTTTCTCTCAGACTACCTTGGTCTGCTACATTTTTAAAGCGTTCAGAGTTCGAGCAAAGCATCCATTAGCATAATACCGTGCTTATTTGACAGGTTAGGAACCAGAGCACTGTCAGACAAACCTATATAGCAGATTTAAAAACCTTTGTCAAGTATAAAATACCTCTGAACAACCAGTAAGCTGACTCTTTCCCCTGCTTCTTTGTTATGAATTCCCAATGCAAGGATATGTGGTAACATAAGTTAATAATATTTTATGGGTTTACTA